ACCGCGGATGGGAATCTCGCGTGGTTTGTTTGTTTACTTGTACAAAAGACAACAGCTGGCCGTTTTTGCCAGTTTTGTCATCGAAAATACACCGGATCCGAGTTAATTCCCAAAAATTTCTTGTATTTGTTCGGCTGCTTATGCGCATTTTAAAGAAGAAAATGCACGAGTCACAAGCAATTAAAAGCTCTTTATGCAAAATAACCGAGTCCGTTTGTCAACCGTATTAGATTCCAGACGGTACCAAGATGTTAAAATGATAACTCAAATTTTGGTTATGTATTACCAAGCTATGACAAAGCATCTGCGAAGTGCAGAATATATGCTTATTTGATCGAAAAAGCCGCCAAACACATATCTAAGTAAAGTAAACAAGCCTCCGCTGCATAATTTTTTCGTTAGTTTCGATCTATGCAGTTCTAAATTCGTCACCTTAGATATACATAAATTTCTAATGGAAAAACTGGAATAAAATAGTTTTTTAACAGTATCACATTTCGCTGATTTTGGACTGGTGGGGATCTGGTAACTATCGGACTGGTTCCGTTTTGACGATAAAGATCTAGTACGGAACTAGAAATTTGATTCACTAGTCCGCGGTTTCCCTGCAGGGGCATTTTCGCGGGCCCTTTAATAAACATACATGCACATGCATACATACAATTGTATATACATATATATACGAGTATGTACGCGCCATGAATCACCTACATCTCTACATACATATGTATTACTGACCTTGCCAACAATTTCGTGTTTTTACATTTATTTATCTTTATTATTGTTCTCTCTTGTATTGAATCTTTACTCAAATAATTTTAACGCTCGTTATAAATATCACACGTGATTGCCTAGCAACAAATAAATATATACATACATACATATTTGTTAATAAATTAAAAATTGAGCTAACAACTTATGCAAATGACTGTAAAACACCCATGGGAATATATGGATTATGCCCAATATAGTGTCCGTTAGTTAGATAAATGGGCATGTCGCGTATGCCTCCACCGAAAAGCGCGCCTATTTATATGTTTTGTCATCTGAGGGAACTTTTTTCTAGAAGTTCTTTAATAAACTATTTTTATTCATAAAGAACTCCATTTTTGGAGGTATTTTCAAAACGGTCCAGCTTAAACCTTAATATTTTTCCGAAATATTTTGGTGGACGTGTTAAAAAATATAATAAACTTTGTAATCCTGGCGGAAAAATCGCAGCTTTTTTTGGTGATGCAGTCTATTGTACATACATTTCATTTGAATAATTCAGTGAAAATAAACCATCTTAAAAGAAATGTCCAATCTTTTATACCCTTCAACAAAACTTTCTACAAAAATTAAGCCACAAAATTTCCATCTGAATGCGTTTGGTTTTTAAGTGATTACCTATCTACCTATCTAATACAATATTATTAGTTGTGCATATTTGTATTTACATATGTACATATCGCTACCTAAAGGTGAAAAGGTGCCAAGTCTACTTTTTTTCAAAATTTAGTTTTTGATGCAGAATGACATATTATGCAAAACTACATCGATTTTTCTTCTCTCCTAAACAATTTCATAACATGGACTTGGTACCTTTTCACCTTTAGGTAACGTTATATACATGCATATGTATATGTATTTATACGAAATTAAATAGTAAAAACGTAAGTACGCATGTACATATGCCCGCACATACGAGGGAAGTTCAATAAGTCGGTGACTGTGAATATAACGCGTAGCAAGTTTGAATGCAACACAGCGTTGCCATTGTAGTAATTTTTTCTAAAACGTTTCCGAAAAGTTATAGAAACGCATCGCTAGAGCGATCAGAGTGGTGTCAATTACCATCTGTTAGTCAGCTACTATCAATTATTGAAAAAACTGCGTCATTAAGTTTGTGTTTGTCAGACATTGGAAGCAGATAAAAATAGATTCCGTCCAAACCCCATAACTTTGGCTACGCCTGCTACCCCATAATTATAATTGAAAGTTTCCATAAAAAAATTGTTAAAAAAGCTATCAACTCATAACTGTTAAAACGTGCCATGAATTCGAATTCGTTGAATTAAACGGACTCAACGGCTTGCTTAGCAGATATTATTGAAAATATTAATCAGTTTTGAGTTCATTGCACATTTCTGAATAAGATATGCCTTTTTCGCGTAAAACATGACTTATCCGACCACTGTGTTTCGTAGAGTTATGATAAGCACTATATATACAGCGTAAAACAAATATGCCAAATGTCACCGACTTATGTATCTAAATGCCCTAGTAGCTTCTTAATTTAATTATAGCAAATTTGTTTGTCTCTCTTTAAAACATCGAAATAACTAAATAACTTTTTTGCTATTTTGCATTTTCTTATACATGCAAATTTTCTCTGTTTTTGGGCACTTTTTTGTTTCACTTCGTTGAGTTTACTTTTATTGCAGCGCCTATTCACCCATGTAAAAAAAATGTTGCTAAATAAATATGTATGCTAATAAAAAAAATTAGTGGAAAAATATTTACATATTCTCAAAAGTACATATTTATTTTGTTCTAAAACTAAATAAAATGTGTAATTCTTAAATCTCAGTATTGCGTGTATCTGCTCTACAGTCATTTATTTAATGCTTATTTCTTGTTTATAATCTTTAACTATGACTTCCTTTTCATAGATTATCATATTCTTGAAGCTCATAATAACTGTTAGTTTGTTTTTTTTATTTCTGCAAACTATTTAATTTTGATATTTCCACTTTGTTTTTAGTTTACACCGCAAGTCTTTGAACTTTTGCTTGCCGCTAAAAATAAGTAAGGTCATTCTAGGTTCGTTCAAATGTTTTATAAATACTGAAATGTTTGCTCTTTCGAATAAACCAATATATATAATTAAGTTACGTTATTTTTATTCAATGTTTTTTTAAAGAAATTACTATATGAACCGCTTTTTATCTACATAGGTCCACCCAAGACAAATTCATATAATGTGGTGTTACTAGAATAGCTGATATGATATTTTTGTCTCTACACTAGTATGGTAGAATGTCAGCGAAGACAAAACGACTCTAGATTTTAGGATATCTCCAAATAGAAATCACGAAAAAGCAATAATAAAATAAACGGAATTTTTACTTATATGCACTTGTTATCACCTTATATGAATTCTCCTTGGGTCCACGATCGATGCATAGCTAGCTTTTGGCTCCACAGTAATCCCAATATTTAACCAAAAAGTCGAGTATGAGCAAAGAGAGCTCTCATCGCTTTATTAAGAGCACCATCCACAAGCTCATTCCAGATCAGTGCAACACCCAGAATAACCCTTAGGCATTAGTACAGCTTTAAGTAATCTCAAACGTTTTCCTAAATATACTATGTAAATAAAACAAGTAAAAAAGTCTAAGTACGGGCGGAGCCGAACATTAAATAACCGTCGCAAATATTAAATATAGTTTTTTCCCCTTTCCGAAAACTACCCTACAGGGTAAGCATGGGTAGTTTTACACTTATTTCAAACATCTTCGATAGAAGGTTCAGTTAGACATAATGAGATAATAATGTTAGTTCTTTTAAAGGGATTGTTGTTAGTATAAATTTCGAGTGAATTAGCGTCCTTAAATGTCGAAATATCGAAGTTGCAAGCATTTCTGAAATTTACCGTTTGTCTATATCTATCTCGATTTGTTTTGCCTGTTACAAACAACCCTTGTGAACAAGTGCGCTCGAACTAATTATTTAACCGTACAGTCTACCTATATATATATATATATATATATATATATATATATATATATATATATGTAAAATATCTTGAAATAAAATAAATGAAATGGAGTCGGAAAAACCAAAAATTATAATATGTATTCGTTAACAACCAACAGCATTTAACGGCAACTCAAAGGTAATCCAAACACACTTTCGGGTTTCCCCAATTCAAAACTCAAAATGACCTTTTTCTGTGATTATCAAAAGTGAACGCAACTTTAAATTCTTCCTCTATTCTTTTAGTGTTTAACTATATATGTACAAATAATGCAATGAGTACCTAGGAAAAAAAAACAAACAAAACAAAAAAATATTTCAGTGAGAATTACGACAAATCATCACCACAAAAGAATTAGCGACTTCCCGCGACGAATTACCACTGAAAGTGAAATCGTCCGACCAGCAGACGTCATCAGCGTTGGAGGTGGCTAATCACGGCTTAGATGATTGATAGCCGGCCGAGAGGTTAATACACTTTGTACAAGTGTTTTACTTTTGTTGTTGGCAAATACATTTGAGCTTGGCTTTTTGTTAGTTTCATTGCTTACTCACGCTGGCTAGCTTAGGCGGAGCTGTAACAGAGCACCTGCATAAATATGTACATTGGGGTGGGCCGAAGTTTCGATTTTTTTTTAGAATTTTTATTGGTAATAGCAAAACTGTGGTTCATTATGCCCTAAAAAAATATTTGTGAATTGGGAAAATTTTCGGTCAATATCTTAAGATCGCCCAAGTCAATCAAAGTTCAAAGTGTTGAACACACTAACAATAAGAATGAATAAAATCTTAGTTTTAGCCCACCCTAATGAACATTAGTATCAAATTCTTACCGGAAGAGCAAAGCCGCTGCTTCACTAGCAATTGCTGATGATGATGATGATTTTAGTATAATTTTTGTTGACATGCTAAATAAGCAGCATGTGGCGTTTTTCCTTTAATTCTCGGTTGGCTGCGTAATGCTATGTAATAGCGTGCGCTACGCTTCATTCTCACAGAGCAGCTGAGAATTTAATGCATATTTCCAAAATTGGGGTTTTTTGGCTACCAACACCAACAGGTAAAATAGCCAGTAGTTATTTGGCTTTTTTGTATTTTTTTTGTAGCTAAAGCTCTTGATCTTGACGCTGGACGTTTCCGCCAGCGGCATAGTAGCCGCGCACAGCGTAAAGATGAGTTTTCGTCATCAACTTGTTTTGCGGCGATTCTTCTCAATCTCCCTACCTCAAGGTGCTACTTATTGCAGTCCGGCAGAAGCATTGCGCATGTGTGTGCGCATTCATCTTGTTTTTTAAGTATAAAAAGCAATGTGCGTACTTCAATTGCAACTTAGTACAAAACTAGCTGCGTCGAGTAACTCATTTTCAAAAAACTGAAAGAACAATTTATCCAAAATAAAATGGCTGGACATGTAAGTGGAAAATAACTTGGAACAGCATTATTTATTCTAAACTCAACATTTTCCTATAATTTCCATTAGCTGTTGAAACTCGCCCTCATCTGCACACTTGTTGCTGCTCTACATGCTGCGCCCGCCCCCGCGCCGCTTCCTGCCGCTGCTGGCGCCCAAGCGCGTACCTTCGGCGGCCTGGGCTTGGGTTTGGGTGCTGGCTTTGGTGGGGGCTTTGGTGGTTATGGCGGCCTAGGCGGCCTAGGCGGCGGTTATGGTGGCTATCCTGGCATCTATGGCGGCTATCCAGGTGGTTATGGCGGCGGCGGCTACTATGGCAGACCCGGTTTTGGTGGCGGTTTCTATCCCGGTTATGGTGGTCTGGGCGGATATGGCGGCTATGGCAACTATGGTGGCTCCTTCAGTCAGGCGCAAAGTCAGTCGCAAAGTCACAGTGGCTACTATAATGGTGGTTTCGGGAATGGTTTCTTCGGTTAAGTAGCTATTTTGGGCTAAGTAGTTTTAGTAAAATTTTTTATAAGGAAAACTGTGTGTGAAAATTTGTGCGAAATAGATGAGGCTTGTGTGTAAAAAACTAAAATATCTATATATACATACATAATACGCGGGGTTTTTTTTGGCGAGGACAAAAGGTGTGCACCGTTCGCTCGAAAATGAGGTGTCAAGGTTTTACTTTTTTGAAAAGAGTTGCGACCTTTCAAAAAATTATATTCAAATTATTAAAAAAAAAATAAATAAATTATTACAAAATTGGTATCAATCGAAATGGTTTTGAAAAGCTTTGTTTCTTAACTTAACTATAGGAGAGCTGCCACCTGTTTAAAAAAGTTATTTAATTTGAATTAAGGGAATTAAGTAAGAAAATATGTACCACTATATGGATGCCAAACGATAGCGGTTTCAGATGGTTAGTTTGAAAATATTTTGAAGAGGGTTGCCACCCGCTTGCAATATCGAATTTTTTCTTAACTTATACTTAATGAAATATTAAACTACGTCAAACCAAAGAGTGTTAAGAAATAATTAGTTTGAATACTAAGAATACTTTTGAGGTGTTTAAATTCAAATTATTTTAAATGAATTATTAAAATAGTAGAATCTATGGAAATGGGTTTAAAGAGGCTTTGTTTCTGAACTATGTTCAGGGGGTTGCCACATGTTCAGAAAATTAAATTCAATTTAACTCATCAGTTACACAAAATATGTATCGCAATTTCCGACGAAAAATATTCGAACTGGTTTTAGATCGAAACTACTTTTGAAGAGGGTTGCCACCTTTTTAAAAGTGAAATTTAATTAACTTATGCTCAAGTTATTATGTTATGGATATCAATCATGCTGGGGTTGTAAAGGCTTCATTTCTGAAAAATATTTTTTAGAAGCGTTGCCACGTATTTAAAAAGTTACATTGAAATTAGTTAGTAAGTTAAATAAATTATCATAAGATGGAGACCAATCGAAAGGTGTTCGAATAGGGTTTATTTCTGACATTTATTTAGGAGGGTTGCTACGTGTTTGAATGATCAAATTCAACAAACTTAACCAGATTTTATTTTGTCAATGGAAAGAGATTTATGAAAGCTATAATTTAAAGATATCTTGCATTAGGCTTCTCACCTCTTCTAAAAGTCATGACGATATAACTAAGTATATATATTACACGAGAAGACCTTTTTTGTGAAGGTTATTATATTTACACCTTTCTTTCGAATTTCAAGTATTAGAGGTCAAATTAAAGACCTTACTTAGCCTACAGATGTGCGATGATGTTTTATTTATTTTCTTTTTTTACTTAAGATCGTTTTTATCAGTAATTGGATAAATTGAAAACCTGCCCTATGCGGGACCTCTCTTTACTCAGAAACGGCTGCACAGATTTAAATGAAATAAATATTGCACTCAGATCGCTTATAACTTTGACTAACATTTGGAATAGTTTGTAGGTCTTAGAAACTAAATTTTGGGCGTTTTAACGCCATGCGGGTTCACTAGTTTTTTATAAAGTTCGTATCGAGCGTTGCTAACAGCATCTATCTAGTTATTTGATGAAACTTTCCAAATTTCAAGGCCGAATTTCATGTGTAGAAACACTGTGGGCGAGAACAGCTCAGCCTTAGTACCACCGGTTTAGCCAAACGTTTCTCTACTTCTTCCGTCTTTTTTAAAGGCTTGAGTAACTCTTCTCTGCTAGCACTCTATTGTCGATCACATTCCAAATCGTACCAATTTTATCTAGGTGAGTGATCTTAGCAAATTGGACAAACTATAAAGTATGAACCTAAGTGTCTAAGCCGCAATCTATCAAAAGCTGGGCAGTCTAAAAAGAGGTGCTGAGATGATTAGACCTCATTTTCCTCCATGCAGCTGCGACAGAAGAGGTCTTGTTTGGTATTTAATCTCACTGCGCGAACCCCGATAGGACAGTAACGTGTTAGTACATCCACCAGAATCGAGAGATCCGGCTTTGCGTGCCTAAGGAGATCCCTAGTCCTTCCACGATCAACGCTCGGCCAGAATAAGCTCGCAGTAGCACATGCAATGGTTTTCCTGCAGTGTTCGCTGAGTTGACCCGAGGTTCATCTGTCCAAGAGAAGTCCTCCTCGGAGGTGCCGCCTCTGGCCAGTTCATAATCCACATAGTTACATGCGATGTCACTATGGCTTGGCACCTATACAAGTCTGAAAAGGTAATATTACGACGCGACCGAAAGTCAGCTAAGGCATTCCCAAACAAGCTTCGAGTGTACCGTAAGTGTGTCCAGGGCTCTGATTGCTGCCTGGCTATCTGATTGGATGTCAGCCTCCCTTACTGCCTCCGCGTAAGTGGAACTACGGACTTGACAACCCACCAGTCAAAGTCTACCAGTCCGAGTCGGTTGGAAGCTCAACTGGTAGAACAGTCTACGCCTTTTGAGGTCTTACCAGAGACTTAAACCTGGTACCACGGGGAACAGAGCCCCCGGAGTGTGTTCGCTGACTAGTGAGACGAATAAGGCGGAAAGAAAAGCTAGACGTGCACATGTAAGATTAGTAAAACTAGTAAGATTTGCAAGGATGGAAGGCGAGCAACTCGAGAAAGTGATGAAAGAATAAGAATAGTAAGACATGTGAGATGAGCGTGATGAGCACAATGTATGAGGAAGAAAAAGCTGGAAGGGTGCTGGGTGAAATTGTCGAAGCTTTCTTACCGATCTGACATCGGAGGTAGAGCCTTGGACCTTGCCTTGATTTACCCGGATCAGCACTAGCCATTGAATACCGGCTCAGCTTCATTACTGGAAGTAGGTTAAAAGCGCATGTTCATATTACAACCGTTCTTTAAGCCGACTTTGGCGAATTTTACGGTAGCATCGTAAGTAAAATGATAAAGCATATTTTATTTATAAAACATATATTTAAATATTCTTTGTTTAAAAATTGGCAATACTAAAAAAATGTATAAATATAAAACTTAAATTCAAATGAAATTTCATTTTCCATAGCTTAAAGATCTATAGCCAGGATAAACAGGTTGTACATTGCCAGTCAATTGCTGTATGATACCGTTGACAGTCGTTGCTACACCGCCTACAAGTTGGGCAGGTGTTAAGGGAGACTGAAAGAGAAAAAGAAAACAATGTTTAGTAAACAACCAAGTTATATTTATTTTTTTGTAATTAACTTTGTAATTAGCTATAATCTGGTGTGGTCCCCGAATCCTATCAAATAGTAGTACGTACCTTTAGTCACTTGACTACAATGGATAAATCTATATAGAGTGAAAAATATCCGACTTGTTCATATGGATATTTAATCTTTCACCCTCTGGAGGCAATCTGGCTTTGTCGAGGGTTTTCTATCGGGGCAGATCGATGTTGGCAGAAAGTCGAAGGCCTTTGCCAGTAACCACAACCAGGCAGAATCAAGGACATTTGGACCACTCGAATCCGTAGCACTGTGGTGAGAATATGGCCTCAGGCAATGGCAGAATTCCCAGTATACTTCTGCCATGAAAAACAGCTTCTCATAAAAATACAACAGGCGTTCGAAGTCGGTGTGGAACTGTAAGTCGAGGGGCTTTGTGTAACAATATCAAGGCGCACGCTACAAATCAGAGGATAAGCTCGGCCAAACACTAATATATGTGTAAGCGCCAATGTTTTATGATTATTATTATCATTAACCGAATCAGAATTGGTGAAAGCACTAATATCGCACAGCATTCACTCAAGAAGAGAGGCAAAGTCATAACAGCTCTGAATGAGCTATATACCGACACGAGTGTATGCTTGTATTGGATCTCAGGGCAAATCGACGTTACGGGCATAGACGAGGCCGGCGGAATCGCTAAAGTATGCACTCTTTCGAAAACTGTGCCAAGAGAAGACGCACCGATTTCCCTTTAAGCGATGGAACAGGTCGAGCCCACGATCAAGTTTGCCAAGAGGACTGCGATGTTCATCAACAATGCCCTTGGTTTCTACAGATTATCTGTGTAATTTGGTCGTAGTTTTTCAGGTAACGCTACCGGTCGTAATGGTCTCTGCGAAGCCACGCAATAGGTTGCTAGCCTAAGCTAATTCCTTGCCCTCAGCTTCTTTTAAAAACCCTTATACTCCTGCTATACCAAACTGGAAGCAGAATTCGGCTTACCATGTATATCCCACCTTTGAAAACCCAGTCCATGTAGGAGCTGCGGAGGAATCTGTTGTGAGGAAGCCCTACTCTAGAAGCATGTTTGAACAATGCTAACCACTTGTATCCTTGTACTATTTAGCAGATCCACTGAGCATGTTCTCCTATGTTGAGGTTAAAGCTCGCATGGTATCTTACAAGTCTGGACCCATTATTACTACTACGTTGCTTGTAAAAGTGATTCCTGATTAACCAAAATGCCAAATTTGAAAAAAATGTTTCATGCAATAATTTGACAGTTCCGACAAAGCATCTAGACTTATAAAGCTTCTAAACACAGTTTTTTTTTATATTGAAAGTCGAAAATTCGCGTTTATTTATAAAAAAAAGGGCATTTATGTATATACATAAGTTGCATCCACTTACCGCTCCCGGTGAATCGTAGTAAACCCGATTGGGTCTTCGAACTGGTGGTGGCGGTCTGGCTGCTACTGGACTATAACCAGGATCTACTTCCGGATCATTAGCCAACTCGTTTGCCTCACCCGCGCCTATATCAGCTTGTGGTCTAAATGGCGGTGGACGTGCCGTTGCCGCTAAAGAATTTTGTAATATACCCGGAGCGAATAATTGAAGAAACGTACTCAACCTGTCGGGTGGCGCATAAGCGTCCGCAATGGGATCAGAGAACAGACCACCGCCACCAAGGCCGCCAAGACCGCCAAGACCACCAAGACCGCCGGCACCACCAAAAGCGCTAGCAAGCCCGCCGCCACCAAATCCACCACAACCGCCACCATATGCGGGCGGTGGATACCCACCGTAGACGTTATAGACATTGAGGTCCCAAAGGATGCGACCTTGTTCCGCGGGCGGTGGAGTCACTTCGTCACCCTGTGCGTCACGCCCAAATGGCAGACAGCGGCGTAGCTTTTTCTTCTTCTTCAGAAGTAAGAGAGTTTTCGACGACTCCTCATCGGCTTCTTGGTTTCTGGTGCCAGCAAATTTGGCATTTTGCTCATCAGATTCACTGACACGTGGCTTATTTGTGGTTGTTGTGGCATCCTGCTGTTTGACATTATATCTATTATAATTGTTGCTGGTATTTTGATCGTCGTTGTTGTTGTTGTTGCTGCTAGTGGTGATAGTATTGCTGCCACTGGCGTCATTGCTGTTGGCGCTTATGGCCGCGACGGCTTTGGGCAAACGCGAAGAAGAGTAGAGACGCGCAGTGCTACTGTCACTGTTGCTGGTACTACTGCTGCCTCTGTTGTATATGTCTCTATAGCTGTCGGCTAGTGCGCGCAGGCGTCTTTGTCGCAACGCTTCATAGTATTCGCGGTTGTTATCGCTATAAGATGAGTAACTGGCGCGGCGATAAGGATTTGCGCGAAACGGACTCGTTGAATAGGACGCGGAGGAATAGTAGTTTTGCGGCGCGCAAGCGCACAGTCCATAGACTGTTAGTAGCACTAGTGAGCGCACAAGCGATTTGTTGAAAAAGGTTGACATTTTCACTTTCGACGCTCACGCCATTCGATGCTCTACACTGAAACTATTTAATGGGTCCTTTTCGAGTATAATTTTAAATGTTTCACTTCTTTATTGAATTTAAGTCCTTTTTACACTTTGGTGTTATCCTTTTTTTTATCGATATGGCTTTTCACACACTTCGTTATTTTAAGAAAATTTCGTTTTAGCACACGAGCTGTTCGTTTCTCGTTTGCAATTTGCACTAAGCGCCCACCCGCTGCAACACTCTTACTTATTTAAAAAAATTTTGCTGCGCATACGCGTAGGGTTTTTCACTAACCGAACCCACACATTTACAATACATTTTGTTATTTATTTTCTAATAGCGTCTGAAAAACACTGACGTTAACCAGCTAGCCGTTCTTGCCTTAGATGGTAGCGTGAAAATTGCAAAATGCCCTTTTTTGCAGCCACACCACAATCCAGCGCCATCGACTAAAACATCGCCATCAGCTAAATTTGCAAATTTTTTAATTCATTGTATCTCTTCTTTTTTATGTGGATTGTGATATGCTAATTTCGACCCGTTTGCTTTTTGGTAAATGTGCGCAGAAGCGCACACCCACGCACTAGTTAGCACGCCATGCCGCTGACGGCTGCTCATCTGCGCATACATAGCCGCCACAACCTACCTCACTGGGCGCATGCATAGGCGATCGTCGGCTCTTGTGGCAATTACCAGCGCTAGTAATGCGCGTTTGTTTTGCCAAAATTTCTGCAGAAAATGGTAATACACACATAGTTCTTTTTTTCCGCCTGTGCATTGACCTGTAACGAATTCTTTTTTTTTTTTGTTTACTTTCCGTTTTAGTCACTCTCACTTTTTTTTTGGGCAGTCGTTTCAGCTAGTGATGCGCCAACGTTCAAAATTATTTGCTGGCAAGTTGGCGATACATATTTTTTTTTTTTAAATTTTGCCACTAAAATTAGGTCAAGATCGCTTACATATAAAAACATAATAGCTAAACTCAATGATACCAAAAATTGCTATTTTTTTATGAATACTCATAATTTTTTTACGGTGTGAACTTATGGCAGCATTCGTCATTTAGGTGGACAGCTGGAAGTTAGCGCAAGAGTTTTTCCGCTGGTGCTGGCGTTAATTATGTGCATATCGACTCCTAAGCGCCAACAAATTGTAAGCGAAATTTTTTTCGAAATTTTATTTATCATGCAGAAATTCTCGTTGAACATCTATGTAGATGCATTTCGCATTAAAAAGAAAATTTGAAAAAAGTTTCACCTACCTCTTTTTGGCGGTTGGGGGGCTCGATTTGCATAGACGCATACATATATAGGCAATTTAGATTAGATTATTCCTAGAGGAGAGTGCAAGTCACTCAGTCACTGCAATCAAAGTTGTTCTATTTTAGTAAACTTCGATTCCGCTATAAGTCTTTTCTGATTCCGGCATCCTTGAGGAATCCTCCGAAGTCCTTTGGAAAATTGCCTTATTTAGATAAGCAACGTCTGAGCCTGTTGAGAGCTGTCACATTATGTGCTCTGAAGATTTTTGTTCTGAAATTGAGAAATTTCACAAAGCAGTTGCATGAGCAGTCACACCTTGCATGTAAAGTGTCTTTCGGAAGAGGTTTTTTATTTCCGAAAGACGAATTGCAGATTGCTAGTGCAGCATGAGCAAGTTGAAATATATTTCCGCAATCGATTTGCGCTCTCTTAATTGCAGTCGTATCTTGCCACTTTTATTTCTGAAACTGATTTCCGAAATGTGACAGAAAGGTCTTTCTGGATATTCTCACATCGAAATAAAATTTCTCTTTCTCAATTTTACAGCGAATTGCGTGGAAAAGCTGGAAATATTGCCACGTCTGACACGCTCTTAACTACTCCTGCAATCTCTTTTGAAAATCATTCAGTTTGACAGACTTGTGAAAAGGACTTGCACTTGCCACGTCTAACAGCTATTTTATTCTGATAACTTTCACTTCAAGTCGGCGCGGGTTTCCAGGGTCGAATTGCATAAAATTTTATTCGTATAGTTTTTAAGACAAAACCGATAACATGAGGGGGTATGCGTTGGAAAACTAAACTTTGCTTTTTTTTGTATCATAAGTCAAAAAAGCAAAACTCGAGAAAAACGGATTTAAAGTTCTGAATTCAAATATACTGCCAAAGTAAACATGAATGCATATTTTGTTCTACATAGTGAGATACTGGTAATCGACGCAGCTAAGAAATTTTTACACAACATAGAAGAGGTAGCGGTAATTTCTACATACTCAAGTCAAAAATTGTATTATGACACTATTGAAGTAAATGAGCGATTTGTACATACATATCGTCGATGTTTTTGCAAAACCACCCATCGAGCAGTTGCAAAATCGCTTAAATCGCCGTTGTCGCAAAAATGTGATTTGGTAACCCTGAACTCCAGGCATAGAGATTTATGCATACAAATCGTTAAATCGTTATTAAAACAAAATATTTGTAAAATAATAGCTAGAGAAAATACCGCCTATCAAGGCAATGCCTTCAAAGAATAAACCGTTTTTTCGCTCTCCTGTAAAATTTGAGTGCCGTAATATAGGCGGTTTTGCAATTGGGCGATGGGCGCTTTTGCAAAACCATCGACAATATACTTTTGTAGCTTTCGAAGCTACGCTTATCAATGAACAATTTTCGAACTAATTGCGTATTTAGGTCACAGATGCACATACCCAGCAAACAATTAGGTTTGATATACATTTGAAAAGGATTTGATATTGATTTGAAAATTACAGCTTTCTCAATAAAAAGGGGAGTTTGATCTCCATTTTGGAATATGGTTAACTCTCAAATCAAATTCAAAGGTTATTTAGCAATTATGAAATGTATATATAAATTTTTTCTTCACGAGAAGAAACAATTAAGATAAAGTAGTTTCTAATATATTCGTCTTGAAGGGCCGCAGTTTCTTCAATCTGCGCAAGCATCAGGTCCATTATTTTTGGGCTTTCTATTTTTTTCTATTCATTGTTTTTTTCAACTGAATTTAATTTTACTCTTACAATTTTTGATTTAACTGCGCATTTTTATATCGTTTGACATTTGCGATGTTTCTTCAAATCAATCTTAAATGAATTTTAAATGTAAAACATAAACCTCGTTTTCAATTTGAGAATCATTTGATATCAAATTGTGAAATAAATTTTTCTCAAGCGTTTGAAACTGTGTTTTCTGGGTATATTTACACATACATACATATGTACATAGCCATCTTTCATTCAAAAAAGTACAAATATATACATACATACATATATAAAGTTTAATAACGCTATTAGTTATAAACTGACTTATACGCCTCTGCACGTGCCGCATTTGTATGTACAAATGTACTATGAATGTATGTACATACACATGTAAGTAGGTATACATATCGTCGTTTAAAGTACAAAACCGCGTATCAACAAAATGCAAAACCGCGTATGTGCGATTGTATAAATTATTTTCTAGAGAATAAAAACACTCATGTTTCAAAATGGTTCTCTTTTTTATAAAGCACTCGCATTTCTGGCTAGTATATTTCAGGAGGAATGGATAAGGATTGAGCCAAGAGCAAATCCAATTTATGGCAGCAAATGTCAGTTACGCGGTTTTGTACTTTAAACGAAGATATATATGTACATACATATGTACGTGCTATTCTGATATCAAATTTTATGGCGCTTGTATATTAGCATAAACAATGCTTTTGCAAATTAAGATAAGCCAATGCAATCTACAGAATGTCGCCCTGAGTGTTATCAGCTGTATGGTAAAGTTTCCACTAACCAAACATACATATATGTATGTACGTGAATAAGTATTGTAGTTTTTGTGGCATACTTTCAATTATAATTAAAATATTATTAATATATTTATTTATTTTATGAAAACTTACATACTATTATAGAGGATGTCCTAGACAACGCGTCCACCCCTTCTAAAAAAAAAAAAATTAAACTGAAATTAGGTATTTTTATCCGCAGAACACGAATCTGTAGTAAAAGAATGTATGGCCCATTTAAAAGAATGGACTTCCGGTTAGTTTAAAGCACTTCGGTCGAAACCCGAAAATTTACATATTTCGATATGATATCACTTTATTTTTGTTTCCACAATTCTCTCGGATGAAGTTTGTGAGGGATCGTTTGGTTGCATATATCTTTATGTGCAGTGGCGTGAGCTTGAGACTAATTTCCATTGCCGCCATGGGGCATCAAGGCGTTGTGGTTTTGTGAGTAAATGGCTCACAATCGCTAGGTTAACCCTTGAGGCCCAATGCACTCTTGCAGCCCCAAAATTTCGTCGCTAAAAATTCGTCATTTTGATATATGCTTTGTTGGATCTATGCTAACTCCTTTGTGTGCAGTTTTTCCTGACTTGAATAGGGACTTCCACAACTCAGCAATAACGACAGTATATTTCTTTCGGACTCACGTTTTTTCAGCACCAGCATGCATATTCCGTCGGTGCGGATGGATTTAGCTCTTTCGTTGAAACAGTGTCTTTGAATGTTTTTGAAAGCTAATTTTCGAAAACTGTTTTTTAACTTATCCCAACTTTGAAAGTGGTTAAGAATATCACAATTGGATTATAAATATTTAAATACATACCACACATACTTAGCCAATGCATCACATGTACATAAGTTTAAGGTTTTTAACCATTTATTACTTTTGAACTTCACATTCTGGTTTTCATATAATGTTTTTTATACAACTAGTCACACGATGGAACAAATATAAATTGCCAGTATTTATGTAAATTGCACTATATGTATATGTACTTATGCTCCTTATACTTTAAAATTCGATGAGGATTTATAAAATAATGTAAAGTCACATTAAAATCGTGTCGTTTTAATTTAAAAAAAAATTGTAACCCCCCTAAAAATTCATAATTTACCTTAATATAAATCAAAGCAGATATTTTACATGGCTTTAGCGAAGAATTAACGCCTGCTCATATTAATAGTTGCACTTATCTCTTGAATTATG